TGGGTGTGCATATGTCTATTCGTGTGACAGCTCTTATTTCTCTAGGATATACTCCTAGGAGTGGGATTGCTTGATCGTATGGTATTTTTAGTCTAGTTTTCTAAGGAAGCGCCATATCATTTTCCGAAATGGTTGTATCATTTTGCATTCCCACCAGCAGTGCATAAGAGTTCCAGTCTCCCCACAGCCTCTCCAACATTTGTTATTTCCAGTTTTTTTTGATTCGTGCCAGTAACGCTGGGGTGAGATGGTATCTCATTGTGGTTTTGAGTTGCATTTCTCTAATGGCTAGTGATCATGAGCATTTCCTCATGTTTCTGTTGGCTGCTTGAATGTCTTCTTTAGTGAAGTGTCGGTTCATTTCCTTTGCCCATTTTTATACTGGATTGTCTTTTTTTGTAGAGGTGTTGGATTTTTTTTGTAGATTTTAGAGATTAGACCTTTGCCTGACTTGTAATGTCCAAAATTTTTTTCCCAGACTGTAGGTTCTCTTTTTACTCTTTTGGTGAAGTCATTTGATGAGTATAGGTGTTTAATTTTTAGAAGATCCCAGTTATCTAGCTTATCTTCTGGAGTTTGTGTGTTGTTGGTTATGGTTTATATCCTGTTAATGCTGTGTATTAGGGTCTCTAGCGTTGATCCTATTTTTTCTTCTATAATCTTTATAGTTTTTGGTTTTAGACTTAGGTCTTTGATCCATTTTCAATTAGTTTTTGTGTGTGGTGTGAGGTATGGGTCCTGTTTCATGTTTTTGCAGATGGATATCCAATTTTGCCAGCACCATTTGTTAAAAAGACTGTCTGTTCCCCATTTAATGGACTTTGGGCCCTTGTCGAAGATCAGGTGACCATAAGTGGATGGATTTACATCTGAGTTATCAATTCTGTTCGTTTAGTTAATGTATCTGTCATTGTACCAGTACCAGGCTGTTTTGACTACTGTAGCTGTATAGCAGGTTCTAAGGTCAGGTAGTGCGAGTCCTCCTACTTTATTCTTCTTCTTCAGTAGTGCTTTACTTATCCAGGGCTTCTTCCCTTTCCATATAATGATTAGTTTTTCCATCTCTTTAAAGAATGTTGTTGCTATTTGGATCGGGATTGCACTGTATTTGTAAATTGCTTTGGGTAGAATTGTCATTTTCACAATGTTGAGTCTACCTATCCATGAGCATGGTGTGTTTTCCATTTATTCAGATCTCTTTGGGTTTCTTGCTGTAGTGTTTTGTAGTTTTCTTTGTTTACGTCTTTTACATCCTTGGTTAGATTTATTCCTAAGTATTTTCCTTTTTTAGGGGCTATTATAAATGATATTGTTTTCCTGATTTCCTTTTCATTGTTCTCTTTATTGGTATATAGGAATCCAACTGATTTTTGTATGTTTATCTTGTACCCTGCTACTCTGCTGAATCTATTAGTTCTAGTAGTTTTCTTGTGGAGTCTTTAGGGTTTTCTATGTATAGTATCATATCATCCACAAACAGGAACAGTTTAACTTCTTCATTACCAATTCGGATGCCCTTTATTTCTTTTTCTTGCCTTATTGCTCTAGCTAGGACTTCCAGCACAATGTTAAATAGGAGTGGAGATAAAGAGCATCCTTGTCTTGTACCTGTTCTCAAGGGGAATGTTTTCAGCCTCTCTCCATTAAAAATGATGTTGGCTATTGGTTTTGAAAACCATGTTTTGAAGGATATTTTAATAACACAGAAATGCTCACGCTGTAATGTTTAGTGAGTTTAGTGTTTGTGTTGATAGATGTATTTCGTATGTTGAAAATTCCCCAAATCACTAACACAAGTGTGGTCTCTAGGTTCTGGAATAGAAAAAGCGATTTGTATTCTTTTTTACTTTTCTATATTTTTATCTTAGTGAGTTTATCTTTCTTCTGGATCCATTTCAGTTATTTTAATTAGCTTTAGTTTAGACTTTACTTAAAAGTAAACTGCAATAATCAGGACTGAGAGTGGATTTTTTTAAGGCTGACATCAAAACTCTGAATGAACATATATTAAAGTTTAGGGTGTTTACCCACTTTACAAAAGGATGCTTTTCTTCACAAATGGATTCACCTTAGGGATCCTTTCAAAACACTGGGTTTATCCTCACTTAGTTAAAAAAAAAAAAAAAAAAGCAATCATAAAATGCAGCCTACTTTATACAAAGCTCTTCCATTTATTATCTTCTTTTGCAAAATTTCTTATTTAAAAAAAAGGGGGGGTGGGGTTAGACTGTTTTTTACCCTATTAGTAACTCAAGATCCAGGTTTCTATGGGCTTTCATAAATAGCCTTCTAAAAACACAAGTCGATGTCCTTCAATCTCTCCTCTCGTCCTCCCCCGCGCCCTAGCCCTAGACCTCTTCTCACTGGTTAATCAGTGATGCAGGGAGGGAGGTGCCAGCCCCTGGGGTGTGGTCCTCAAACTCCTGATGAGAGAGTAATTAGTCTAACTGGAGGCATCAAGGGTAAGCTTTGGACAGGAGGCTGACATGGCTTGGGAACCAGTGCCCACTGGCTAAGGGGGGGCTCTGCTCAGGCAGCATCATCTTGTACAGGTGTGATGTGTCCCTGAGAACGCCTGCAAGGGAGAACAGGATAATGGGCTCAAGTACGATGTCACATCTGAGCTGGTCACCACTGCTTCATTGTGACGACAGAGCTGGCCAGACCATCCCCCCAGGACCTCTTGGTGAATAAACGCTCTCTCCTCTCTTCCAGAAATGCAGTGGAGGAAGGCAAGGGGATTTTTTATAACATCAAAAACTTTCTCCGCTTCCAGCTAAGCACGTAAGTGGAGGCCAGCCTACGTGGGGGTGCCAAGAGCCTGCCGTGTGTCCAGCCTGCACGACCAGGGGCCCCGCTAACGGCAGGTGCTGTGCTTGTGCCTGCAGGAGCATCTCCGCCCTGAGCCTCATCACCCTGTCCACCGTGCTCAACCTGCCCAACCCCCTCAATGCCATGCAGATCCTGTGGATCAACATCATCATGGACGGGCCGCCAGCACAGAGGTGAGCCCCACACACTGCCCTCCATCCTCACGGAGTTCCCGGGGCCCTGAAGCGTGGTGTGACCAATGTGGGCAGGAGAGGGAGGCAGGCAGGGCCAGGAATGGATAGAGTCTGCTCCCCTCAGGTATCTGCATGGCTCCATGTCGCCCTTCACACAGGCCACCGCCTCCAAGAAGCCTTCCCTAATCAACTCTAACAACAGCCTCTTCACTCTCAGTCCTCTGGCCCAGAGGGAAAATGAATGTACAAATATTTCCTTAAACGTTTATCTGCTTATAATCAATCTCCCCTCTAGAATGTCAGCTCCATGGAGGCAGAGTTTTTGTTTTGTTCCCTGCTGTATCCCCATCTGCCAGAATGGTGTTGGGCCCACCACAGGTGCTCAGAAAATTACTGGCTGAATGAATGAGAAGAGGGTACTGGGGGAGCTGGGTGGCGCAGGGGAAGAACAGGCTTTAGAGGCAGGAGACCTGCGTGACCAAGCAAGGCACCTCACCGTGTGTGGGCACAGAGTAGGTGTGGTTTCAGATGGAGCTGGTTTATTATTACTGTTACTGTTTTAACCATTGCCAAAGTCGTCTGCCAAGGGGACAAGATTCCTCTGTTCCCTCAAAGCCAAGTGTAGGTGTCACCTCCCCTCTGAGCTCCCCAGAAGCAGGGACCCTGGGAGGAGCTGGCCACAGCTGTCCCTGCAGAGTGGGTGCCTACCACCAGGGCCCTTCAGTTATCCATCAGCTGAGAGTACAGGCTCACTGTGAACTGTGTGCTGGCCTAGCCTCCATCCCACCACCTCCCTCACTGGGCAAGGGGATCCACGAAGGGCAGGCACCTGGAATGACACCCAGCTTGGGGGATCAGCTCATGGTGTGGAAACTGCCCAAGTACAAGGCTTGGCTGAGTGTGGCTCCAAGACCCTGTGTGGTCAGCACCGTGAGGGAGTGGTCCCTTGCCATGCTTGGGGATGGGGGTGGGCAGGCATGAGGGGGGCACCCAGGGGAACTGAGAGGCTAAGGGCAGGTCAAAGGGCATGAGGACAGGGGCATCCCCAGGGTGCCTAGAGACCCACTGTTGGGGGAGAACCTGGTGGTGGTGGGCACACACCCCTGACCCCACCCTAAGATGCCGACCTGAGGGCCAGGCAGTGTGAGCACTTCTGTGTCAAGTGTTGTTCTGTGTTTATTCAGTGCACACTACCTTGTTTAGTGGTTTATCCCAAAGTGTTCTGTGCTCCGCGCAGCCTGGGGGTGGAGCCAGTTGACAAGGACACCCTGGCACAGCCACCAAGGAGTATCAAGGACACGATCCTCAGCCGAGCCCTCATCCTGAAGATCCTGCTGTCTGCTGCTGTCATCATCAGCGGGACCCTCTTCATCTTCTGGAAGGAGGTGAATGAGCCTTCCACCAGCACTGAGGCTGTGGCCGACACGGGGCTGGGCCTGTGTGGGAAGCAAGGTGGGCAGAGCCTGTCCTCGCCCTCCGGGGGGCTTGTGTTCCATGGGGACAAACACATACATACACGGGACAACACTGGTCCTCTCAGTATGAAAGGAGAGCATGGGGTGGACAGAAAGAGACGGGCTGAGAAAGCAGTCAGAGAGCAAAGGGGGACAGAGACACAGGGACAGGGAGAGACAGACAGAAGAAGGTGGAGACAGGGACAGAGGCAGAGTGAGCGACATGGAGAGAGTGACAGAGAGATCTAACTAAATGGCGATTTTTACAGTCTGAAGGCAGAACACATGTAAGAACACCCCTTTTCAGCTGATTGGTTACACTGCATTAGACCACATTACAGAACAGTAATAGTCTACACCCAAAATCCAAACCCATTGCCGTCTAGTCAATTCCAACTCATAGTGACCCTACAGGACAGAGCAGAACTGACCCATAGGGTTTTCAAGGCTGTAATCTTCATGGAAGCAGACTGCCACATCTTTCTCCTATGGAGCGGATGGTGGATTCTAACCGCCGACCTTTCAATTAGCAGCCGAGCGCTTAGCAACTAGTCTAGTATTTGGCAAACCATGGCCCAGGCAAGTTAACACAGAAACTTAGCCATCGCAGAGCCTCCGGTCCAGCAGGTGAGAAACAGTGAGCCTGTCGCCGGGCCAGGGGGTTCTCTTCAGGTGAGACCTGCACCGGTGCTTCTTACCCTGCACCCTTCTCTCCCTGGCCCAGTCCTGCCCTTGGAACGTCAGATTGAGACCTGACTCCAGGCCCGCAGGGGACCAGAGCCAAGGGGATTCCACAGCTTCTCTCACTGAGCCAAGTCTGACCCTCAAAGGGCCGAGTTGTCCTCAGAGCCAGCTGTCCTCCTGTCTTCCTTGTAGGCAGGAAATTCTGCTGTTGTTGTTAGCTGTTGTCAAGTCAGCCCCCCTGACTCATGGCAACCCCACATACAACAGGGTTGGCCCACTGCAACCCACAGGGTTTTCACTGGCTGATTTTCAGAAGTAGATTCCCCGGGCTTTCTTCCTATTCAGTCTTAGTCTGCAAAGTAGTTTAATTATAGGGGTCTCACCTCCTGGGTGTACCCTTAGACTAATGAGCCAGTCCGCTCCTGTAAAAATTACAGCCTAGATAGAAATAGAAGTATCATATGATCCAGCAATCCCACTCCTTGGAATATATCCTAGAGAAATAAGAGCCATCACACGAATAGATATATGCATACCCAGGTTCACTGCAGCACTGTTCACAATAGCAAAAAGATGGAAACCACCTAGGTGCCCATCAACGGACAAATGGATAAACAAATTATGGTATATTCACACAATGGAATACTACACAACAATAAAGAACAACGACAAATCTGTGAAACATCTCATAACATGGATGAATCTGGAAGGCATTATGCTGAGTGAATGTAGCCAGTCGCAAAAGGACAAATATTGTTTAAGACCACTATTATAAGAACTCAAGGAAAGGTTTAAACACAGTAGAAAACATTCAACACAGTAGAAAACATTCTTGGATGGTCAGGAGGGTGGGGAGGGAGGGAGAGTGGTATTCACTAACTAAATAGTAGACAAGAATTGTCTTAGGTGAAGGGAAGGACAACACACACTATAGGAGTCAGCACAACTGGACTAAACCAAAAGCTAAGAAGTTTCCTGAATACAACCAAACACTTTGAGGGGCAGAGTAGCAGGGGTAAGGGTCTGGGGACGATGCTTTCAGGGGGACATCTAGGTCAATTGGCATAACAAAGTTTATTAAGAAAATGTTCTGCATCCCACTTTGGTGAATGGTGTCTGGGGTCTTAAAAGCTAGCAAGCAGCCATCTAAGATGCATCAACTGGTCCCAACCCACCTGGAGTAAAGGAGAATAAAGAACACCAAAGACACAAGGAAAATATTAGCCCAAGAGACAGAAAGGGCCACATAAACAAGAGACTTCATCAGCCTGAGACCAGAAGAACTAGACGGTGCCCAGCTACTACCAATGATCGCCCTGACATAGAGTCCCGGATGGAGCAGGAAAAAAGTGAGATGCAGAACTCAAATTCTAGTAAAAAGACCAGACTTAATAGTTTGACTGAGACTGGAGGGACCCCAGAAAACATGGCCCCAAAACTAAAACCATTCCCGAGGCCAACTCTTCAGACAAAGATTAGAGACTCGACTATGGGACATAAAATGATACTCGTGAAGAGTGTGCTTCTTAGCTCAAGTAGATACATGAGACTAAATGGGCAGCTCCTGTCCGGAGGCAAGATGAGAAGGCAGAGAGGGTCAGGAGCTGGTTGAACGGACACAGGATATCTGGGGTGGAAAGGAGTGTGCTGTTGCAGTATGCTGTCGCAGTATAGGGAGAGCAACTAGGGTCACGTAGCAATGTGTGTATAAATTTTTGTATAAGAAACTAACTTGAATTGTAAACTTTCACTTAAACTTTCACTTAAAGCACAATTAAAAAAAAGAAGATTACAGCCTAGAAACCCTATGTGGCAGTTCTACTCTGTCACATGGAGTTGCTATGAATCGAAATTGACTCGACAGCACCCACCACCACCACTTCCCGGGGAGGCAGCGGTCTCCCAGTTACCTGCTGGAGGAAGCGGCATCTCCTTCAACTGTCCATGCTTCAGCTCTCTAGGTGAGGGCAGCATTACCATCCATCCTGGCAGCTGAGATTCCTGAGGAAGGGCTAACAGCCGGGAAGAGTGGCCAGGGTCCCAGGGTGGCCGCAGTCAGCCTATGGTTAGGAGACACTCCTGGTGTTACACCAATGAGCTCAAGATTTACAGGGCTCTTGATCAATTTATGTCCATAAAGTTCTACGCTGCCTGTGCAACCATCTCTCTGGAAAGTTCTGCTCCATCCCCAGGCTCTGGTGAGTATCAGATTGCTCCACAGGGAACTAATTCCGTCTTCTTCCTGGGTAACCTCATCCCCATGTACTTGTTTCAGATCCCTGAAGACAAGGCCAATACACCACGCACCACGACCATGACCTTCACATGCTTTGTGCTTTTTGACCTCTTCAACGCCCTGACCTGCCGTTCCCAGGTGAGACCTTCCTCTAGGTCAGACGTGTTCTCAGCTGGCAGTGCCCCAGGGTTGGCTCAATGTGGGAGGCTGTAGCTGAGATGTGGGCTGTGTACAAGCGAACGTCAACCCTCTCCTGCCCACAGACCAAGCTCATCTTCCAGATCGGCTTCTTCAGGAACCGCATGTTCCTCTACTCCGTGCTCAGCTCCATCCTGGGGCAGCTGGCTGTGATCTATGTCCCCCCATTGCAGAGGGTCTTCCAGACGGAGAACCTGGGCGTGCTCGGTAAGTGAAGGCACCAGCACAGGCCATGTAGAACCAGGGAGGGTCCATGCTGCCTGCATACAGGGCTGCAGAGCAACAGGGTCTGATTAGCATTAAAGCAGAGTTTTCTGAGCTCCAACGTGCAAAATCCCCACAAGAGGCCAAGCTAGGGGCCTGCAGAGGCTACTCCCCCCAGGAGCAGGGGTTTGGGGCAGACAGGGACCTGCATCCCCCACCAGAAGATCATGAGGCAGTCCCAGCTCAGCCTGTATGCGCGGCCCTGGCTCATGGCTCCCCACATGGGCAGTGGCTGGTGTGAGCTAGACGTCTGCTTACCCGAAGGCAAGAAGCTGGGCCAGTGTACAGTGTTTGCTGAATCATAGCAGCTCTTGGTGGCCCCAAAGATACTTGCCCTGGTGGGGACCCAGGGACCCCTCTGCTCTCAGTGATGGCCCGAGTTCTTTTTTTTGAAAGCTGCTTGGCTGGGCTGGGCCACCCTTTTCTGAAGCCAATATGACAGTAAGATCCAGTGGGAGTGGCAGTGGAAAGCACCCCAACCCATCTTCCTCCCTCCCCTCTGGCCAAACTCAACTGCAGCTAGAGGGCAAGAGGCCAGTGAGGCAGCTCCCCAAGGCAGCGAGCTGGTAGCCCCTTGTGAGGATAACGAAATGCTCCACCCAGTCAAAGGCCATAGAGACAAACGCACTTAAACCTTCGGCAAGGCTGGTGAACGTCAACTCTGTCTTCCCCGTAATCTTAAAAGGAGCGTCAAGGTGGGCGCCTCTGAATGCCCTGTAGCAACAGATGAGAGACCCCAAAGGGAACAAAAGGATGCTTCCCTCCAGTGGAAAGAAAGTCAACTCACTCAGTCTAAAGGAAATACTGTTTGTAACAATCACTGCCAACAGGGAGTCAGGGTGGAGGTGAGGGTGACAGGAGACAGCAGGGTCGTCAGTAATTACCCAGTGGAGACCCAGGCAGCTTGGACTGGGTAGCTGGGAGCTGAGGTGCTAGGTGACGCGGGCGGGGTCGGGGGGGAGAAAGCAGTGCACTGGGACAGCCACATCTGCCCTAAGGAGGGAGGAGGCTAAGATTCTGGGTCAGCTCAGAGTCTGTACTGGCCCTTGCCCCAAATGTTGGCCCCTGGCACTGGGTCCCCCCTTGCTCTCAGCTTTGCCTAGAAAGACTGATGGGGCATTTCTGGAAGAGGCGCCAAAGTGCCCTGGCTCTGGGATTATAGCTCGCCCCCCTAAAGGGGAGTGAGAAGGGCTGGCCCTTAGCTCCTGGCCCTAGCCCCTGTGCCTCCGCCTTTTGATCAATAAGGAGGACGCGGTCTGCTGTGCAGGGTTACTCCGGTTACTCCAGGGGAGAGCCGGGTGAGGACGGGAGGCCAGCAGGTTCAGCGTGGGCTCTCTGACTCTTTTCACCTTTTGGCAGATTTGCTGTTTTTAACTGGATTGGCCTCGTCAGTCTTCATTCTGTCAGAGCTCCTCAAATTCTGTGAACAGTACTGCTGCCGAGCCAGGAGAGTCCAGATTCCCCAGGAGTATGTCTAGTGGCCCTGGGCAGGGAGCAATGCCCTAGATGATCTATGTTTTTATGTGACTGCGACCTGCTCCCCATGTTCCCTCTTCAGAGGCGTATTTTTAGGAAGCCGTAGCATTTGGTCACTCACGTGCTGATTCTTCTTGGAAAATCTACAGTGCTCTTGGGGCGGTTCTTGGGGAGGCTCCGGCCAGGCCTCCATGACTTCTCCCCGCGTTCTGGGGTACACAGTGAGGAGCCTGTACAGAAACAATCTGCTATTTATTAAATCACAGTGATTTTTATTATCCACGTCTCTCTATGATGTTATTTGGAACACAGCTCAATGCGATGGGCCACTTGTTAAGAATACATGGGGCTTCTTGAAGAGGCAGCTGGGAGGGTGGGAAGAGCAGGGGTTGGGGCTTCTGGTCACTTCTCTGCCCATTGTTGGCATGAGACTAGGCTGCATGGATTAATCTCAGGGAGGCCGCACTTCCTCATCTATAAAATGGGCGCTTTGGGTACTATTGTAAACTGTTATGCAGGGGGCCTAATTATCGCTTTGAAGGATTTAGCCAGTCTTGTTCTTACAAGTGGCCCGGTTGGGAAACTTATGCTATTTTGGAAACCCACAGTCTGTGTTTAGATTAAAAAATAAGACACAACTATAATCTGCCTACAAAAAAATATACTGTGAATGTTAAGACGCAAATATTAAAAGTAAAAGGGTGGGAAAAAAATATACCATGCTAAGACTAGTCAAAAGAAAGCCAGAGGGGCTGTATTAACAGCTAAGTGGATTTCAGAGCAAAGACTGCTGTCAGGGGTAAAGAAGGCGGTTTTATAAGGATAAAAGGGTCAAACGGTCAAGAGGACATAACAGTCCTAAACATTTACATACCTAACAGCAGAGCTTCAAAATGCGTGAAAGCAAAAACTCATAGAAATGCAAGGAAAAATAAATCCACCATTTTAGTTGAAAATTTCAATACCCTTCTCTCAATAATTGATATGAAAATTAGGCAGAAAATCAGCAAGGATAAAGATGACACCAAAAGCATATGCAACCAAAGAAGAAATAGATAAATTAGACCTGATCAAAATTTAAAACTTCTGTTTGTCAAAGGACACTATCAAGAAAAGTGAAAAAGACACCCACAAGATAGGGGAAAATATTTGCAAATCATATATCTGCTAATGGCCTATTACCCAGAATATATAGACTCTTCTTACAACTCAACAATAAAAAGACAAATAACTCAACTTTTAAAATGGACAAAGGATCTGAATAGACATTTCTCCAAAGATGCAGCGCATGAAAAGATGCTCAACATCATTAGTCATCAGAGAAATGCAAATCAAAACCAGAATGAAATACCAAATTACACTCAGTAGGATGACAATAATGAAAAGAAGTGCTGGCAAGGATGCAGAGCATCTGGAACCACCGTGTGTTGCCAGCAGGAATGTAAAATGGTGTAGGCACTGTGCAAACAGTATGGCAGTGCCTCAAAACATCAGACATGAGAGTTACCATCTGACCCAGCAATTCCACTCTGGGGCGTATAGCCCAGAGAACTGAAAACATATGAAACTTGTTTCACAATGGCTTGTACACAACATTCAGAGCAGCATTTTTCCATAGCGGCCGAAGAGTAGAAACAACCCAGATCCCTACACTGGAATATTATTCAGCTGTAAAAAGAAATGAAATTCCGGTACATGCTACAAAATGGATGAATCTGGAAAACATTAAGTGAAAGAAGCCAGATCAAAAGGCCACATATTACATGATTCCATTTACATAAATTATCTAAACCCATTGCCATCAAGTCGATTCTGACTCATGGCAACCCCATGTGTTACAGGCCAGAACTGCTATGTAGGTTTGTCTTTACTGTAATCTTTACAGAGGCAGATTGCCAGGCCTTTCTACCGTGGCACCACTGGGTAGGTTCGAACCATCAACCTTTAGGTTAGCAGTTAAGTGCAAACCATTTGCATCACCCAGGGAACCTCACGAACTATCTAGAAGAGGTAAATCGATAGAGACAGAAATTAGATTAGTGTTTGCCACAGGCTGGGGGCAAGGGATTGAAGAGTGACTGCTAACAGGTATAGGGTTTCTTTGTAGGGTGATGTGTTCTGGAATTTGATACTGGTGACGGTTGCACAACCTTGTGAATATACTAAAACCACTCAGCTGTCCACTTTGGAATGGTGAATTTTATGATATGTGAATTAGATCTCAATTTTAAAAAAATCGGTATATCCATACGGTGGAATATTACAGTCATAAAGAGAAATGAAGTCCTGATACATGCTACAGCCTGGATGAACCGTGAAAACCTGCTGAGCAAAATAAGTCAGCTGCAAAAAGGACACTGTATGATCTCACTTGCAGGAAATAAGCAAATACATAGAAACCAAAGATTATTCATGGTTAACCAGGGGTGGGAGGCAGGGACAAAGGCGGAATTTTTGCTTGAGGGGTATTGAGTTTAGGTTAATGGTAGTAGAATAATTTGGAAAAGGACAGTGAGAATGAATGTAATCAGTGTCAGTGAATTATACATGTAGAAACTGTTGGGAAAAGAATACAACAAGGATATCGTAGACTTGAACACTATCAAGCAACTTAGCTTGATTTACATTTGCAGAACACGCCACTCATCAACAGCAGAATACACATTCTTCTCAAATGCACATGGAACGTTCACCACGATAAAAACAATGAGCAGAAATCAATGAACTTGAAAACAAAAACAGAGAAAATCAAACCAAATGCTAGTTCTTTGAAAAGATCAGTAAAAACTCAGTCTTGCTGCAGATTTATCAGATCTCTATAACAACAGCAATGAGAGAGGGCATATACTGCAGACTCAAGATATTACAACAGTAATAGTGGGACACGACGAACAACCTGACACACGTACACTCAACAAGTTAGACGAAGTAAACCAATTTCTTGAAAACCCCAAATTACTAAAACTCATTGAAGATGAAATAGATAATCTGAGGAGTCTCATAACTATTTAAAGAGACTGGATTTGTAGTTACAAACATTCCAAGAAAACAAATCTCCACAGCCAGATGGTTTCACTGGTGGACTTTACTAAACATACAAAGAAAATAATTATACACAATCTCTTCCAGAAAATAAAAGCGGAGAGAAGACTTCCAACTCACTTTATAAGGCCAGCATTACCCCAGTAACCAAAACCAAACACAGTACAGTATCTTTCATGAACGCAGACCCTCAACAAAATACTAGCAAATAGGACCCAGCCAAATATAAACAGAACAATATGCCATGACAAAATGGGGTTAATCCAGGAATGGCAGGCTAGTTCAATATTCAAAAATCAATCAATGTAATCCACAGTACTAATAGTCTAAAGAAGGAAAGTCACATGGTCGTATCAATTGATGTGAAAAAAGCATTTGACAAAATTCAACCCCCATTCATAATAAAAATGGGCAGTAAACTAGGAATAAAAGAGAATTTCCTCAATCTGATAAAAAGCATCTACAAAAAAGCTATAGCTAACGTCATACTTAATGGTGAACAACTAACTGCTTGCCCTGGAAGATTAAGAACAAGGCAAGGATGTCCGCTCTTACCAGGCCTATTTGACACAGTACTGGGAGTCCTAGCCAGTGCAATACGGCAAGATAAGGAAACTAAAACACACTGGAAAAGAGATTGGCAAGGAGAAAATAAACTAACCCTATTCACCGATGGTATCGTTATCTATGTAGAAAATACTATGCAATCTTTAAAAAAAACAAAAAAACTCCTAGAACTAAAAAGTGAGTTTAGCAAGGTTACAAGATTCGAGGTTAATACACAAAAACTGTATTTATATATACTAGTAATGAACAACTGGACTCTAAAATTAAAAACTGAATACCATTTACAACAACTGAAAAGAAAAGAGAAATACTTGGGTATAAACTTACAAACATGTATAGTATTTTTATGTTGAAAACGACAGGATGCCAATAAAAGAAATCAAAGAAAACCTAAATAAATGGAGAGATACAGCATGTTCGTGGATTGGAACATTCAACATAATAAAGATATCAGTTCTTCCCAGATTGGTCTATAGGGTTAACACAATTCTTATCACGATCTCAACAGGATTTTTTTGTAGCTACAGACAGGCTTATTGTAATATTTATATGGAAAGACAAAGAAACTAAAATAGCTAGAACAATTTTGAAAAGGAATAAAGTTGGAGGCATTAAAAGTAAAAATGGAAACCACATAAGCAGTAGAAGAAAATTTTTTTAAATCTGAGTGTAGAAGGACTTGTTAAGCAAATTACAAAATGCAGACGCTATAAAAGAAAATGCCAGTAAATATGACATAAAACGTAAAATACCATAAAAAAGGTCAAACTGGAAAAAGTACTTACCGTTCACAACAGATGCTATTATGCTTCATGCAAAAAGCACTCTTGCAAATCAAGGAAACCAGGCAAAGGCTGTAATCAAAGAGTTGATGGGAAGGGTATACAGATTGCTTTTTTAAAAATGAACAGATTTTTCTCATAAGATAGAGAAAATAATAATTTTCATTTATCAAGCGAACAAAAACTAAATTTCAATATAGTGTTGGCAAAGATACAGCAAATAGGCACCCCGGTATATTAGGAATATAAACTGAGCTGAAAAGAGGTTTATTAATTTGTCAATATCTATTTTAAAAATGTAAAAACAACATACCTTTTGATCCAAAAATTAAGCTTCCAAGAGTTTATCCTACAGATGGACTCACACCAAGACACACACAAAGGATATTCGCTACAGCAATGACTTGCTATAAACGGAACGCTGGCCAACCAGCGACGGCTGAAGGCTATCAGTGAAGGAGGTCCATATCATGGAACATTATGCAGTCAATAAAAACAAAGTGGTGGGTAGACAGGTGGAAATGGATTAATCTACAATCAGGAAAAGAAAGTGAGGGAAACACCAGCAAGTACAACACACTCATGCTTACATGTGCAATGAGGTACCTCCAGGAGACCTAAGAGGTTTCACCATCAGTGTTGCCTCTTGGGAGGGAGAATAGCTAGGGGAAGGAGCAGGAGGGAGTCTTACCTTTCATGTAATCTCCTTTTGTACCTGGATCTTTTTACCATGTATATGTGCCTTGATTTTTTTTTTTTTTTAAATAAAAAAAGAAGCACCTGGTTGGGGGGCGGGAAACAAATGCCATATTTGCAACATGAACTGCATTTTTCCGCCTCTTCCTTCCACCACTTTCTAGAGCCCTGATCAGCCTTCACTTATAAAGAGACCTCTAGGAGCCCTGCTGGTGCAATGGTTAAGTTCTTGGCTGCTAACTGAAAGGTCGGTGGTTCGAACCTACCCATTAGCTCCACAGGAGAAAAAGACCTGGCGATCTGCTCCCGTGAAGATTACTACAGCCTTGAGGCTGTTCTACTCTGTCACGTGGGGTCGCTATTCATTTATTAAAGTAGCACCGTGTCTCAGTCCCAGGTAGAAGGTGTCTTGTCAAGCCCAGTGGCCCCAGGCCAATGCTGACACCCCAAACATGGTGTGCTTAGAACCACACCATGATATTAAGCAGACCTTCACCCCAAGAGAAGCTGGAATGCCATCACCAGGCCCCTCAAAAGGGCCACTCTCCCAGGTTACTAACCAGCTGGCCCCCCAGTTCCCAGGCACCTGAACTAGGCACCCTCTTTTCTTTGTATAGGTATGCTGCCTTGTGAAACAGGTGAGACCACCATTTTACCCACTGAGAAATTTACGTGGGTGATATGCACTCTCGTTAAAATAAGCACAAGGCAGAGAGTGTGTGGGCAGACAGAATCCCAACTCTCTGTGACAGCCGTAGGTACAGGGCGCAATCAATGGCATGAAAGGCATGGACACCAAGAGGCCGTTCGTTAGTGAGGTATTTAATTGCACACGTGTAAAAAGCATTCCAAAACAAACTCAAGACCCCAGACATAAGTCTTTGGATTTACAGTAGGAGCATTTTAGGATGCTAATATTCTCCATCTACCATTCTATCAGGCAGATCACAGGATGTACCTGAGAAATTATTAAAAACTGGCTTTTTATAAGGGAAACCCATCACATCCAAGTCCTTGTCTGCCTCACGCCTTGCACCTCCCCGCGCTGCCTGAGTGTGCGCTTTTCTTCTGAAGGCTCATTTTCAAGGCCTTTTGCTTTAGTCAGGTGGTTTGCTAAGTGGGAAGCTTGATGAACCTCTTAGTGGAAAATGCAGAACTTGCAAAATGCAAATGGCTCATGAACTATGGCTTATAATCTGGGCAAACTGTGTAATAAAAGCTGCATTCTCATCAGATCCAAAGAAGGCCAGCGTTTACGGCAAAAGACAGAAGAGGTCTGTCTTAGAGACGGGCTGAAAGCTCCTCGAAGAAAGGATTTCTTAGCTGGCAGTGTAGACAGACTCCCAGAGTGTTTATAGGGTTTTTCAGGCCTGGCTCAGGCAGGGAGATGGCAGCTCTGCTCGAGGCCCAACCCACCTGAGACTTCATTAGGTAATTCTCAGCATTTGGCATCATGGGAGTCTTTGTTTAGAGTGAGTCCACTCTGGGAGCAGCACTGGGCAAGTAGGGCAATACTGACCGGCGTGATGGCAGGAGCTGGTGCCAGGGGATCTAGAAGCCAGGCTACGCACTGCAAAGTTACTCACCACTTCCAGGACGGGCCTGAAGAGATTATGGAGTCCCTGGGTGGTGCAAACAGTTAAGCGCTCAACTACTAACCAAAAAGATGGAGGTTTGAACACACCAAGAGGTGCCTCGGAAGAAAGGCCTAGCAATCTGCTTCCGAAAGGTCACAGCCTTGAAAATCCTATGAAGCAGTTTCTACTCTGAACACATGGGGTCGCTATGAGTTGGAATTGACTCAGTGGCAACTGGTTTGCTTAAAGAAATTATACGTGTGTGTATGCATACATATGAATGTATGCATGTATATGTTATTTATATAAAGTGTATATCTCTGTCAACAACGCTGCCAGCTTTAGGGCCCCGGGTGTTCCCATTTAAACCACCAACAGAACCCCACTTTTGTGTCTCTGTACATCTTGCTCAAGGCACAGATTCATTTAAATGCAGCTTAAAAGATGGACGTGAAACCTCACTATAACACCTACTAAGGACCTCCCCCTGTGAGACTGGATGATCTCCAAAGTCTCCTGCTCTCCCCCCCATGAAGACACTGTTGGTGCTTTTTTATAAACACAGGAACTCCACGCCATAGGACACTGTCACCAAAAAGCATCAAGTTCCTCATCCAGTGCCTCTGTCCTTCACCAGCTAAGACGGGGCGTCAGGGCTGTGCTGGCATGGCCTGGGCATGTGTTAGCTTGTCCAATGGGGCAGCTTCCTGGAGGGCTGAGAGGCTGGGGGAGGTTATGCCCCTCCTGCACATGAGAACCCCCATTCCCAGCAAAGCTGACTCCGCAGAGCTCTTAAACGTCTGTGTCCTTAGATTTCATTTACATGGAATGAACAAAAGCCTAAGGATTGAGCTGCTCGTTTCAAACGTGAGAGCGCAGAGCTACAGAGGCTGACTGAGGTTCGGCATCGCAATGGGGGGTGCAGCAGATGCATGCACTTTGTCCCTGGGCTCCTTCCATTGTGGGCTCCCTCACGCGTCATCCAGGGCTTCCCGGAGCCCTTCGCTGTGCCAGCTTCGCCCACTGACCTCCAGCAGGATCTTGGTCTCGAGGTCCACGTCCAGGATGCTCTTGTTGCTCTTGGCCTTGGATGGAGAACGAAGGGGTAGGGGAGGAGTAGGGGGATCAATGGGTGCACAGAAAGGTATGCGCCTCCCAGTCACCGAGAGCAAGTGGCAACTTCCTGCTGGTTCTCAAGGCTATTCCGGTGGGAGCAATATTCTGCTGTCACAAGAAGGAGGGGGTAGGGGCTCTGGTTCCCTCCCCGAGGCCCCTCCCATTCTGGGATCCCATCGCTGAAAGGTAGTCAGGTGTTGTGGGAGGTACAGCGGGCCCAGCAGTGACTCAATCACAGAACCATGGACCCAGAGGGGCCCCAGAGGGCCTTTCTAGCAGCCCTGATGCGCAGACGGGCAGAGGGTCCCAGGGGCGGCAGGCCTGCCCGAGTCTGCAAAGCCAGCAGGGATAGGTCCCTGCATCCCAGGGCATTCTACTAGCCCACCCACGGCTATGGACACTCATCTGGAAACGATCGCCCAATGCAGGAGGAGGGGTCAGGCCAGAAGGGACAGGTGTCTGCACTCAGGGCCCAGCCACAGGTTCTGGCACGCCCACTCACCGGCTGAGACTTGAAGTCCCCTACGGCCCACACCTCCATCCTATGGAACTGGAAGTCCTCCTTGGCCGACAGCTGGGGGCTGTTGTAGGTGGTGCACGTGGGCTTGGCTTTGCTGTGTCCCTTCCCAAAGTCGACATCGATCCACAGCCCGAAGTAGCCATGCTGGCCGCCCATGCCCTGCAAAGGAAGCACACCAGAGCCATGTCGCCCATCCCAGCCATCTGCAGACACCAAGTACGGAACACCTACACAGCACCTCCCATACCAACCTGCGCGAGGCGATGAGCAAGGAATGCGATCCTCCCTTTAACTGTGAGATATATAGACAGATGCAATCTAAGGGTCCCATTGCAAGTTACTAGAATGATCACCGAGGTCCCCAGACTGTCCCCCAACAGCCCCTTCTCACAAGGTCGCATTGCTGGAAGAGCAAGTGACAGCAAGGGGTGAAAAAAAACCCAGAGCAGCAGGATCCAAAGACCCCAACCATGTAAACAGGGGAGTGGTAAGCTGGAAACTGACGTTGGAAACCCACCGTGTCTGAGCGCTAACCCCCCACCCACCCTGCCAGCCAGGGACCCCTATCCCTCCCTATACAGATAAGGCGCTGAGCTCAGAGCATGAGAGTGACTTACTCCCTGGATGCTGCCGGCTTGCGAAGGGGGAGAGCCAGACGCAGCCCCAGAGGACAATGTGCCCCACTGTCCTTTCCACTCTGCCACCCTGTGCTGACTGCCAGCTGCTGGCTGACAAGATCGGGACAGCTAGTTAAACCTCCCCTCCCTGACCAATTTCTGTGCTGCCACCTTTTGGCAGAGGAGACTTGCGCAGGAAAATGCAGCTGACTCTCCAGGGCTGTCCCTTACCCCTGCTGGCTCCATATTCCCCATTCTTGGGAGGTGTTTAGTGTTTAAACTCAGCGTCCTCAGATGCCTGGGCATGCCCCTCCCCACCTCCCACAGGAAGCTCTGGGCCCCCTCCGTCCTGACCACAGTGTGGACCCACCTTCTCGCCCCGGCTGGAATTGTCCAAAGGGAGCTTTTTGTTAAGGAATCGAGCAAAGAAACTGGCTGGGGCACGGGCAAGACAGCTTTCCTCCCAGACAAGACCGGGGCATGGGTGCTGGGTGTGCCGGGCTCCTGTCCCTACCCCCCACTCCTCAAGATGCCCCTCGTTCACCCCAGCCCCTCTGCCAGCCCTTGGCCTTCACTGTCTCCCTCTCCCTCCTGTAGCCGAGTGGCCATGAAAAGCAGCCAGGTGTCATAGTCACCCAGCTGGAGCTGCACGCTGCATTATGAGTCACCGCAGACACCAGCAGGTCCAGGGAGGCACATCGGAGTGCTGAGCACAGCCCAGGCCTCCAGCTACAGCCCATCCTCCAGGAGAGTGGCAGGACAGGAATGCCAGAGACAGGTCGGCACCAGTGCTACCAGACCTATGGCCACCAACCTGTCATCTGGTCAACTCAGGGAAGTGGCCAAATGAGCCATTCACAGCCAAACCATGAGAAGGCCCAACAGAGTCTGCATGCATCCAGACAAGAAATTCTATCCTAATTATCACTGATCACACCACCCCTCTGGGACTGAATGCCAGCAGCTTTTCTCTGACGTAAGGAGGAAAGTCACCACCTCTGACCCCCACACGTCAACCTAGGCATGAGCTAGGATTGAGTGCACCCCGGAAGTAACCTGAAGAAGCTGAGACACTCGCGCGCCTCTCGGTCTTACCAATCCGTTTGGGATCGTCTGCTGCCCGTGGTTCAGGTACATGAAATGGTCATTGTAGCCAGTACATGCGTACACAGCCATGCGGGGGGAAATGGAGAACAGGAAGCATTTGTCATCCCCTGAAAGAGAACAGAAAGAAAATAAATAGCCGTGCTGTGTCCAGGCTGGGCCCAGGAGAAGCAGGAAGTGCAAACAAGCCACATGTCAGAAAGCAAAGCTGTGGAGACAGCTGCACAGCTCTCAAGGTATGCCATGAACAAGCAGGTACGACCCAGACATCCAGGTACACCTGTATGCCCAGGCGAACCCCGAACGCCCAGGTATGCCCTGGACACGCAGGTGCTACATGAATGCCTAGGTATGGCCTGAACTCACCAAGAAAGGGGTCCTCATAGGGTCAGCTGCAGTTCCCTTCTGCTATCCCGGAGACCAGGTTGATAAGCTGGGGTGGGGGGCATTCAGAATGACAGCTAAAAAGGAATGCGGCCTCTGCTTGCTGGGACACTTGGCTCTTACCAGGGAGACTGGCAATCTCAGCTTCGCCCTCTGTTTCAGACTTGTGCGGACACCAGTCTCGGTGGGCCAAGCAGACCAAAGTCAGAAAAAGCAGGGTGCTTTGAACGTAGGAGCCAGCAGCAGGAGGCCTCAGCTTCCACCCAGCCCTCCTCAAGCAGGGATGTGATGCTGTGTAGGCCTGTCCCCAGCCGAGAAAAGCATCATCCAGAAGGGGAAGAGAAGCCCAAGACAGCTAGCCACCCCCGGGAAGGCACAGACAGTGGGACGTGACAGGTGGCCATGGGCTAGGTGGGGACACATGGGCCACTGAAAGCCCAAGGCTCCGGGAACGGCCAGGGCCCCCAATGCACAGAGAGCTGACCCTTCATTAATTCGTTCACGGACTCAATCACTCAACAAACACCATCCGATTCGGGAGAGGGTGCGGGCTGTGCCTCCAGGGAGCTCCCAGCCGGGGGCTCACACAATCTAAAGCTTTCCACAGTAGAAGCACTGGACGGAAGACTGCCCCTCCATATCGTGACTGTGCAGACTGCAGGCAGCAGGTAACCTTATCTCTGGGTTGGCTGTCCTATATGGAACCAGGACTGGGGGCACGACACAGAGGGTGGTGTGAGGCATCGAAGTCCAGCGAGGCCTCAGGGAGGTCTGCCCCCAGCAGGCAAAGGGACCTGCCTGGCAGAGTCTCGGCAAGCAAAGCCCATGGACCCCAACCCAGACAGACCCAAGGGGCTTCTCGGCTAGGTGATGACAGCTAGAACTCCAAACCCTGTCTTCTCAACTCAAAGCCTGGGGTTTTTTCAGCTGTACCACTGAAGTGGGCCCTGTGGCCATTAAATCCCATTCAATTCTCAAATACTGTTGTTGTTGCTAGCTGCCATGGAGCTGGCCCCTGACTCATACGACCTCACACTCAACAGAACAAGACATTGCCTATTCCTGCACCATCCCCTGATTGGCTGTGACTTGGACCACTGTGATCCATAGGGTTTTCATTGGCTAGTTTACGGAAGTAGATTGCCAGGCCTTTCTTCCTAGTCTGTCTTAGTCTGGCAACTGCTGAAACCTGCTGAGCATCATAGCAACATGCATGTCTCCACTCACAGATGGGCGGTGGCTGTGCATGAGGTGCACTGGCCAGGAATCAAACCCGGATCTTCCGCATGGAAGGTGAGAATGCTACCACTGAACCACCAAGGCCCTCTCTCAAATACGAGATGTTATTATTTCCAGGACGTCACCCGTGATGGCAGGCTGCTCTTCTGCTGGAATCTCACCTTCATATTCAGGAAGAGAATGAGCTCAACTCCAAAAACCCAGCCATACGTATTTCACCATTCTTCAGGAAGATTAATTCTGCTTATTCATAAAACATCACCACCCAGCACAGTCGATCTACGGTTAATGCTGAAGGAGCTGGAAGCAGCAGGAGTGGGATATATAATGACGCCTCTCAGGGCATTTTCACACCCTAGAGCAGGGCCTCTGACTACACAGTGAGATGGGGCCACTTTCATTTCCCTAAAGCCTCACGATCGGGCAGGTGCAGACAGTGTCCCCTGCTCTTCTCTGGTGACACTCTGATGGAAGAGGAGGGTGTACAGAGAAGAGCTAACCCAGCAGGCCCGAGGCTGCCATCCCTGGGGAAGAACACACGCCGACCACAGCGCACAGGCCCTGGGATGGCGCCCGCCTGAGTGCAGAGGGCAGGGGTGGATTAGCCAATAGGCAAGGTAAGCACTGTGCTTACCTTGCTTACCGATTGTCTCTAGTGAACAACTTCACAAGTTTTCACCACATCAAAGATTCTGCTCCTACATATGGCTGGCGTCTGTCTCTCTCCCAACCCCACAGCACCTTCCTACACAGTCAAAGCCTCTTGTCAAATTTACAATCCCTGACGGGGGTGGATGACCCACTACGCAAGGTAAGCATGAGCTTACTTGTGCTTACTTACGAGTCGGCAGTGAACAATTTCACTACAGATGATCTGACGAGCACACAGTGCTTACCTTGCTTATTGGATAATCCGCCCCGCTGCCCAGAGGTGAGGCTCCTCAGCACCGTTAAAGGGCCACTCTCACCCCAGCACTCTTCTTTGAGGAAAGGGGACAAATTTCTCTAGAACCTTTCATCCAGTGCATTCAAGGTCATGCAGTGGTTGTTGCATGCCGTCGAGTCGGTTCCAACTCATGGCAACCCCATGTGACAGAGCAGAGTTGTTGCCCCATAGGGTTTCCAAGGCTGTAATCTTTACAGGAGCAAATCTGACAAATCTTTCTCCCATGGAGCCACTGGGTGGGTTCAAACCACTGACCTTCCAGTTAGCAGCCGAGCACTTAACCATTGCCCCCCTAGGACTCCTTAGGCAATGCAGAAAGAGTCCTAATTCCAGTGAGACCACAAAGCCTAAGTACTTCAGAGACAAGAGAGGCAGAGGGAGCAAAGCCCACACATACAGGACATCCAAGGCAAGAGAGTGCCTGCGGCGAGAACCGCCCTGCTCTTAAAGAATCGGTGTCTTCTGGCCTGAGAAGGTGCTGCCAGGCTGGCTCACCACCTGCACACCTGGTGTCATTTAGTGGCACAGGACTTACTTCCTCATCTGAAAACCAGCAGTGAGGAGGCCTGTCCTGCTTACCTCACCCATGAAGTGCTAAGCCAGCCGAAGGCAGCACCATGCTTGAGCATCCTCCTAGCCACATCTAAAAGAGGTAAAGGCCCTTCTTGAACATTGTCATGGATTGAATTATGTTCCCCAAAAACATCTGTCAACTTGGGTGGGTCATGATTCCCAGTCCTGTATAACCGTGTACCATTTTGTCATCTGATGTGATTTCCCTCTGTGTTGTAAATCCTATCACTATGATGCAATGAGATGGATTAGCGGCAGTTATACTGATGAGGTCTACAAGATTAGATAGTGTCTTAAGCCAATCTCTTTTGAGATATGAAAGACAGAAGCGAGCGGAGACACATGGGGACCTCATACCACCAAGAAAGCAGTACCAGGAGCAGAGCACGTCCTTTGGACCTGAGGTTCCTGCGCAGAGAAGCTCCCAGACCAAAGGGAGATTGATGACATGGACCTTCCTCCAGAGCCAACGGAGAAAGCCTTCCCCTGGAGCTGATGCCTTGAATTTGGACTTGAGGGCTACTAGACTGTGAGAGAATAAACTTCTTTGTTAAAGCCATCCACTTGTGGGGTTTCTGTTAGAGCAGCACTAGATGACTAAGACAAACATGTAGCCAGTGCTCAGAGGTCTCCAATGGAAGCAGCCATCAATCAGAACTCTTTTTAATTGTGGTAAAAATATATATAACCTTTGCCATTTCAACCTTTTTTTATGTCCACGATTCCATGACATTAATTACATTCACCATGTTGTGTAACTATCACCACTATCCGTTTCCAAATGTTTCCATCACCTGTAATAGAAACTCAGTGCCTCTAAGCAATAACTCCTCCTGTCCCCTCCCCGCCCCACCCCACCCCCAACCCCGGTAAGCACGAATAAACTTTCTATCTCTCTGCATTTACCTAGTCTAGATATGTCACATAAGTGGGATCATACATTACTTGTTCTTGTGTATCTCGCTTATTTCACTCAGCATAATGTTTTCGAGGTTCATCCACGCTGTGCATTGTATCAGGACCTCATTTCCCTTTATGGCCTAGTAGTATTCCATTGCGTGGATGAACTATATTTTGTTGATCCGTTCATCTGTGGATGGACACTTGGGTTGTGTCTGCCTTTTGCCCGTTGTGAACAGTGCTACAGTGAACACTGGTGCACATGTATGAGCCAGAACTCTTAATGAGTGCTCTGCTCCCAGGAAACTTTGATATTCGGGTCACCAGATCTTACCTTGGAACTGAGGCTTGACCTCCCAGGTGCAAGATGCAAACCCGCCGAACACATGGCCGTCGTGGTCCTCGAGAAGGGCCACACAGGGCCCTTGGCTAGTGATGCGCCCACAGAGCTGGGAGAAGCTGTGCCCGTGAAGCTCAGAGGAGAAGAGCAGGTGCCACCTGTGCCGGTGCTCCCTGGGCAGGTGGGCATCGATGTAGATGACCGACAGCACATCCAGGACACTCGCAAACTCCCGCCCCTGGTCAACATGACGCTCAGGGATCAGGGTGGCCAGACTGAGGGATGTGCTCAGGATGAGAAGACCTTTGTGGATGACTACACCCAAAAAGGTGGCCACGAAGGGAGCCCGGAACACCCAGTCCTCGATTACAGCCTGGCTACAGACACAGTCCAGCTGCTCAGGCTCCAGAAGCTTCTTGCCATCTGGGGGAAGGAGGAAGACAAGGCACAGTGTGAGCAGGGGTATTACGTTTCCTTATATTTATGCTCTAAACCCACACCACCCAACACGGCACCCATGAGCTGATGTGGCTACTGAGATGTGCTGTAAGTGTAAAATCCACACCCGATTTCAAAGACTTCGTGTGTAAAATAGAATGTAAAATAACAACAATTTTTTTTTTATATTGGCTACACGTTGAAAGGGGCCCTGGTGGCGCAGTGGTTAAAAGCTTGGCTGTTAACTGAGAGGTTGGCAGTTCAGATCCATCAGCCACTCTTTGGAAACCCTATGGGGCAGTTCTACTTTGTCCCATAAGGTCGCTATAAGTCAGAATTGACTTGACAGCAATGGGTTTGGTTTGGTTTGAGTTTATATGTTGAAATTATATTTTGGATCTATTGGGTTAAATAAAATACATTATCAAAATTAATTTCACCTGTTTCTTTTTACTATTTTAACGTGGCTACTAAAAATTTTAGTTTAAAATTCGACGTGTGGCCTGCATTTGTGCTCACATTACGTTTCTGCTGGGCAGCATTCAGCTAAACGATTTGACTTCAATGCTTGCATCTTTTCTTTCCTCTCCACGCTGCATTTCAGAGGCCCAAGGACAACTATGGCCTTCCCCAGGGGCCCAGCCCCCAGAACTTATGACACAGTGACAGTAATCAAGACAGCATGGTTCAACTCTATAACTCAAAGGCCTAAGACAGGGAGTCCAGTGAGGTTGCAGGTCCATTGGGCACAGAGGACCAGATGGCACTTGCCTGGCAGCTTCATCTTGGACAGCAGCCGAGCAGCCATCACCTGCACTCTGGAGGGAGCACCTGGTGCTTCCTTCTGCATCCAGCCTCTCAGTTCCTGTCTGTAGTCAAGCACGTGCACTACAGAGGCGACCAGGTCCTCTGTAAACTGAAGACCACAGTGTTACCATTACAAACATTCACAGTGCCCCCAGATCTGTGTCATGCCAACATGGGGAAGAGTGCGTTGTCTCTTTAATGTCAACAAGGATAGACCACAATGTGGAAAAGCACAATGCAGCTCACGTCTTAGATAGTTACTCATTTTTCTAATTAGACACTTGGCTGGCCTAGACGTTTGGCCATGGCCTTTGACCAGGAGTTCTGACGCAACAATATGTGGTCTAGGGACCCCACAGGCGGACACACAAGAGCACGTCTAATGGCCGAGAGGGCTTCATGGCCTCACTACCTTTTGGACTTCTCTTGCTTTCACAGAACCTTCTGTGGCAGAAATCATCTTTAGAATCACGAGGCTCTTCTCCTCAGAGTTCCCTTTTAACAGGTAGGACATGGATATGGTGAACTGCTCATGGGAGACATTCTCGCTGGGCCCCTTGGCTGTCCCCGTTAGGTCGACCCTCCGCATGCCATCATACAGTCTGGTGACCATCCCTGCGGGGAGCGCTCCCCCAACATGATCCTGTTGGGGATGAGACGGAGAAAAGACTGTTATCAAGGGTGAGTTAAGCTTGGTAGTATTTCAGAAAAATAACAAGGGGACCAAAACCAACCAGTGCCACTCCATGATGTTTCTGTCAGCTGCCTGACCTCCCTAAAGGCCCATGTGCCATCTCTGCCCCACTAAGGACCTCATACGGTATCCTGGCCAATGACTCCTCTTGACCATCAGAGCCTTGCACAATCTGGTCCCACCCTGTCCTCCAAACTCTCCAGTCTCCCCAAACAGGCCACCATCTGCTCTTCACTCTGCCCGGGTCACCTTCATCCTTCTAGATTCTACTAGCCACCATGTGCATGTCCAAATTTATTAATATATGTAACATATGTCCACACGTGGCTAACTATCATATATTTATATATCTAATAAAGCCTGTAGTGGGCACGCACACATGTCCGCTTGGTCTCTACTATATTAGGGACTTCCACATATATTAGCTAGCTTCTACTTCTTATACACATTCTTTGTACTCAATATGCATTTTTAATTAATTTTTATTTAAATTTTAAATTTAATTATTAGTGAAAGACTGGATGATAACATCCTGTAAACACTGTTGTCCTTTTCTGGCTGCAGCATCAAATCTGACTTTGGCAAGGGATTACAGATAAATGGTAAAGGAAAACAAATCGCTAATTCTGGCACAGTAATGTCTAAGACTGGCTTCTCCTGGAACATGTTACCACATACACAGAGTTTGCTAAAGATCAATATTCTGCAGTTCTTGTAAGGCAGGTTTCCCCTCTCACCACTCAAAAAGAGTGCTCTCACTTGTTATTTTTGGTGATGGGAAAGGTAACACCCAATGAAAGTGAAGTGTACGCAGCCTGATGAGGGTAAACGATGTCACTAAAAAGTACACAAGAAAACAGGACCTGTTGGTAATTGCTATGGCATCTATAATTTTGTCAAATATATAATCTGTCAAATGAGATCCCATTCTACATGTTCTAGAAGGGGGGAGCTACCTCCCCACCTCCCAGGAAGATGAGCCGATGTTCTCTGCCCGTGTCTTGTCTCAGTCTGAGTAGTCAAACATGTAGTTAGAAGCCCTGTGAAACAGGGCAATAACTGGGCAAATGGGCAGTTTTAACTCCTGCTAAGGTGAGTCTTGAATTTGAGACTTCATTGCTTCATTAAAAATACCGTAAAATTCCTAGGATATCAAACACTTACAAATTCCAAAGGCAAAGGTACACGTGAGACGTCATGCTTCCTGGCCCCATGAGTCCCACTTAAGCAGACCCATCATTCCGTCTGTTACGCAGACTCTGGGAGGGGAAATCACAAGCTAGGCAGCTCGAGAGATGGCAAGCAGGGCTGGCCCCTTTGGTGCCGATCTCAAGTTAGAAATGTCCCTCAAACATCAAATAAATCATTATCTACTCTGAGTTCCTTTCTTTAATGCACATTAAGAGACTATACTGATTTTTAAAAAGGGGGAGGATGCAGGTATGGCCCATGGCTACTTTCATGCTACAACGGCAGAGCTGAATATCTGCAACAGAGACCATACAGTCCGTGAAGTCTAAAACAGGTACTGTCTGGCCCTTTGCAGAAAACAAACTTTCTTGTGTTCTAATAAAACTGCTTTATAAAATCAGGCACGCAGACTTTGGCCTGAGGGCCCTAGTTTGTAGACCCCTGCTCTAGACTGAACAGTAACTCTGGTTGTTCTTCTTGCCTTCAGTGCCTGCAGAGAGAAGGATCTAGGCGAGGTACGCAAGCTGCTCTTATCAGATGAGAGAGCACCAAACAACTGATCGATCTCAGCCTGCTCCTGAGGAAGAAACTGGGAACGAAAACTCCGGCCCGAGTGGATTTGGCTGTTCCCCATCTTTCCTTACACGAGGCAGAAGTCTCTGCAGAAAGAAAAACAGACAGAGTTAGAAAAATCCAAATGTAATAAGCATAGAAAATAAATGTTGATATTTATGTAGTCAAGATAATAAATATCGATTTAGCTGCAAAATGTGACTAGAACACATGACAGCTATGTAATGATTATTTTTCCAGTTGCTGACTTGCTTTTTACACAAATATCACCACTATTTATTTCCAAAAATTTTCCATTACCCCAAAGAGAAACTCTGTACTCACTAAGCAATAACTCCCCCTTCTCCCTTCCCTCCACCCCTGGTGACCACAAATCTACTTTGTCTCTTTGAATTCTAGATATTTCATATAAACAGAATCATACAATATTTATCCTTTTTGTGTCTGGCTTATATCATTCTGTATGTTTTCAAAGTTCATCCTTACCATAGCATGTATCAGAACTTCCTTTCTCTCTATGGCTGAATACAATTCCATTGTACGGATGGACCACATTTTGTGTATCCATTCATCCACTGATGAACACCTGGGTGGTTTCCACCTTTGGGCTACTGTGAATAGTGCTGCAATGAACACTGGTAGACAGGTTTCTATTTAAGTCTCTGTGCTCAAATCTATCTTTCAGAGTATTAGAAATGAATTGTCAATACAAGTAAGGTGGGAAAAACTCTAGTTCTGATTCCTATAGTTGTCAAACAACCCAAGCTAATGTAACTAAAAAGTAGAAAAAATGGTATTTTCATCAGCCTCAATATTCATTTTTAAAAAAACCTGAGTTGAAAAAAACCATAAGGTTGAATGATTAAATGTATTTGAATAGAATTATCACCTTGAAAATATAGCCCATAAAGTGAACACAAAGATTTGAGTTTTTCATTAGTGATCCTGACTCTGCCTCCTATTAGCTATATGGTGTTGTACAAGCTACTCAAACTGTCTGTGCCTTGATTTCCTCATTTGTAAAATGAGAGTCATCATAATCCTGCCTCAGAAGTTTTTATGATAATTAAATGAGCTAACAAAAGCAAACACCCATCTGTCAGCTTCTCATACTGGGGTGGCTTGCATGTTGCTGTGATGCTGGAAGCTATACCACTGGTATTTCGAATACAGCAGGATCACCCATAGTGGTCAGGTTTCAGTGGAGTTTCCAGACTCAGATAGACTACGAAGAAAGTCCTGGTGATCTACTTCTGAAAATTAGCCAATGAGAACCCTATGGATCACAATATAATATTGTTTGATACAGTGCTGGAAGATGAGCCCCCTAGGTTGGAAGGCACTCAAAATACACAGTGGCCACAATAATGCCCTCGAGCATAAAATCAGTGATCATGAAGATGGCATAGGGCCAGGAAACTTTGTGCGTGGGGTGGCCATGACTAGTGATCGACTCGACAACAGCTGACACCAACAGCAGCAAAGGCAAGAGCTGAGCCAATGCCCAGTGACGACCTGCCCATAAGAACCCTGCAGCACTCCTTACCTGTGCAAGGAAGGTTACAGAAATAGGCACCTGAAGGCAAGTGACCCGGGGGGCTTGTTCACTGTCACAGCCCCTCATTACAGAAAAGCGGCAAGTGCAACAGATCAGGTATTCAAACAGAACAAGCCAACAGAGAAACTAGCACAACTTGTACTAGGAAAGGTCATGGAAGCCCCATAGACACATCCAAACTCCCTGAGGGACTGAATTGCTGGGCTGATGGCTCTGGGGACCATGGTCTCGGGAAACATCTAGCTCAATTGGCATGACACAGCTTATAAAGACAATGCTCTACATTCTACCCTGGTGAGTAGTGTCTGGGGTCTTAAAAGCCTGTGAGCGGCCATCTAATAAGATACTCCACTGGTCTCATCCCTTCGGGAGCAAGGGAGAATGAAGAGAACAGGATACAAGGAAAAGATTAGTCCAAAGGACTAATTGTCCACGGCTACCAAGGCCTCCACCGGACTGAGGCCAGTACAGCTAGATGGTGCCCGGCTACCACCACTGACTGCTCTGACCAGGATCACAACAGAGGGTTCTGGACAGAGCTGGAGAAGGATGTAGAGCATAATTCTAACTCACAAAAAAAAGACCAGATTTACTGGCCTAAAGGAGACTGGAGAAACCCTGAAAGTATGGCCCCCAGACACCAGTTTAGCTCAGTGGTGAAGTTACCTCCGAGGTTCACTGTTCAGCCTGGGAGGGGACAGCCCCGTAAAACCAAATGAGACTAACGAGGTACAGGAGTCCAGTGACAAGGGCCAGAAGGCAGAAGGGGACAAGAAAGCTGGTGATAGGGAACCCAAGTTTGAGTAAGGATATTGTTGATGTGTTGTGAGATTGTTAACCATTGTCATAAGGCAACATGTGTAGTAATTGTTAAATGAGAAACTATTTTGTTCTGTAAGCCTTCATCTTAAGTGAGAATAACAGCACAATTCGAAGAGCATAGTAATGTCACTGAACTGTGCATGTAGACATTTTTGAAATGGTGTATCTTTGGCTATGTGTATTTTCACCAAAAAAAAAAAAAGAGGTTGAGAAGTTAGAGGGTTGATATGTTGTGGGGTTGTTAACCAATGTTATAAAACAACATGTGTACTTCTGTCTCATGAGAAACTATTTGTTCTGTAAGCCTTCACCTGAAATACAATAAAAAATAAATTAATAAAAAAGCTCTTGAAAGGCAAAGCTCCTGTGACTTCTCAATCCTTGTCCTTTGACTTTATCTGGAAGCCCTGTGTTGGTGAGACTGCTGGAAAGACAACCACTTGTCCGCCTGGGCAACTCAGTGAACGGAGTTCATGAGACAGTGGCCCATCACCTACCAGAGGAGGCCGAGGTGGGAAAGGTGGTCCCAGCAGGCCTGGGGGGCGACAGTGATCCCTATCGAGCCCTGAGGTTCAGAGCCTCAGGAGAGAAGGGGCTCCGGCAGGACAATCCCCCTTTGCAGGCTGACTGCTAACATGGCCCCTGAGCGGGCAGCCTGCACAGAGGGCTCCTAGCGGGGGCTGAGGGCAGCTTGCAAGGCAGGCTGGAAGGGAGGGCTCGCACAACCCAATTTCAGCTGCCACTTACTCGCCACCCAAGCTAAATGCTTCCACTCCTCACGTTTCCCAGGAGCATAGGAGCCAAGAAGGAAAGCCTCCAGCCGTGGCTCGGGGTCAGCCTTTGCATGGGGCTATCCTCGTCTGAAAACAGGGGGCTGCACCAGTAGGCATCTCCAGCCCCCTCCACTCTCATTCTCTTCGTCCATGCTGCTAAGAGACTGCCAAATTACCTGCATCCAAGCCCCAAGGAAGACCCTGATCATTTAGGACATGGTTATGAGATAAGCCATCATAATTTGGTTTTTAAATGCACACTGATTTTGGAAGAGGGAGGGAAAAAGTACACAGCAATCATAACATCACTGACTCTGCAGTTAACTTAGGATCTCCTACCTATCTCATACCCCTGCATAAGGACTGTCACATGTTCTAAGGCAAAGCCCAGGACAAAGCACAGTAGAAAACCCAGTGACATCCACAGCAGGAGCACACCTGGAGTCAAAGCCAGGTTTCTAACTTGCTACAGCCAGGAACATGGACTGTCTCAATAAGACAGTGTCAGAAAGGGCTTCTTACGGGACCTGGGCTTGTCTTAGGTGATTTAAGGGAGGGTTCAGGGAAACAAGGAGACCCTGGATGGTGCAAACAGTTAATGCACTCGCCTGCTAACTGAAAGGCTGGAGGTTTGAGTTCACCCAGGGGTGCCTCAGAAGAAAGACCTGGTGATCTACTTCCAAAAAATCAGTCATTGAAAACCCCATGGAGCAGAGGTGGGGCCAAGATGGCAGAAGAGGCAGATGCTTCCTGTCATCCCTCTTACAACAAAGACCCGAAAAAATAAGTGAATCAATTATATATGACAACCTAGGAGCCCTGATCATCAAAGACAAAGCTAAGGAGTTGGACTGAGCAGCAGGGGGAAGGGAAGACAGTTCAGAAGCAGCGAAGAAGTGCCGTTCATGAGCTTGCCAGCACCCTGCTGGCTCGGTTGGCCAGCACGCATGGGCTGAGGCAAGCAGTAGAGTTCGGGACAAGTTTCACCACGTCGGGAGAGGCCGGGCAGCAGAGAGTCTGCACAAGCCTCTGGAGCTGCTGGGTAGGCGGCACTGGACCTGAGAAAGTTAAGTGCAAGCATATAACCTTTCGCACGGGGACAAAATAACCCCTCCCCCTCCCGGACTTTTCACAGCAGAGAAGTGCCTCTTTCCCCTCACCCACCCCCCACCCTACTCCGATGCTATCTATGCCCAAACCAGTCTCGCAGCTTTAAAAAAAAAAAAAAAAAGCCAAGCCCCCTAAGCCAGGAACTCAGAACTATCCACACCCAAACCAGTCTAGCAGCTTCAAAAAATCACCAGGCCCCCTAAGCAAGGAATTCAGGGCAGGCACTGCCCCTTTACCTAGGCACAGACTTGCAGCGCCCTTCACCCCTGCCTAGACCTATATAGGCAGACTCAACACCGCAGGACCTCATTAGCATAAAACAAGAGGGCATACATCTGAAGCCTATTTTCAACTGCAGCAGCCAAAGGGGAGTTGCAGATTCCTGACATTTGACACTGCCCTGCTCATTAAGCAGGGACCTCACCCACCCACATCAGAGGCCTGAGGACTGGGGGTATCACTTACTCCATCTAGCCACCCACGACAAGGGTCTGAGAATCAGTGGTGCCTCCCAGTCCCCACAGCTAACAGCACTGGGTGCCCAAGGACAGGCTGCAAAATCCACCTCCCTACATGCTCTAGGAGACAGGGGTATGCCCTCCACTCAGGCACTCAGGGCAGCCATCAGCCCCTAGCCTTGTTCAGCACGTAGCCTCCTACTGCAGCCAGATACCTGTGCCTGTTCCAAACACCCCTATGCAGCCCTGCCCAACTAGGGCTGTAGGTGAAAGTCTGCACCACACACTCGGTGACCAACGACCTGGACACCTGAGCTGCATCCACACAAGAAAATTGGACAGACTCCTGGGCTCACACACTTAGG